CGGCCGCTCGGCTCGGCTTGCCTTATCCTCCTTGGCCTTCGCGGGCTTGGCCACCTGACGCCACATGGTCTGGGCTGCCCGTTTTCGGACCTGCTAAAAGCTCTTAACTGTTAAGTGGGTCAAATGGAAACCCCCACTAAACACTGAAAGTCTAAAAAGCTAAGGAACCGGATGGCTGGGAGCCGGCTAGTGATACAGAAGGCTATCTAGCAAGTCAAGAAAGAAAAGCTACGGAAGAAAGGCTATCAACTTCAAGTGAAAGCACGAGGAAACCGATGGGCTAGCAAGTAGAATGCAATTACATCTTGATCAGCCAACGTGAAAAGCAGCCAGAAAGGAGCGGTAGAGCAAAAGGACTGCATTGATTGTAAACAATTAAATGTACAGCAATAGAAAAACACGTGGGAACGCAAAGGCAGTAGTAAAAAATAAGACAAGCAAACAACGTGGACTGAGCACAAGGAACCCAATGCAGGTGCTCGTTGAATGGCAGTTCTCGTAAGGAGTGTGTGTATTTTTGCGAGGTAATCACCACCCTGTGTATTATCCAAATTTGAAAACAACCTAGACCCGAGATTACATAAAGGCCGGATCATTTTATAACTTTTGCTGAAGCCTCGGAGCACTGGGAAGGCTCCTTTAGATCTTGTCCATTCTCATGTGGGACTCGGTTGTGCACCAACAAACCCTGACCCATTTCCACGTACCGGAAGGGAAAGCTGTGAAGCAACCCTGACCCCAAACCTGGTTCCCAACAATTATTGGTTTCCTTTTTCCTTGAACTTCGAACCCACAGCTGGGGGGGGGACTGTTTGGAGAACACCCCCTATGAAACAAAGAAGTGGAACATTTCTTGCAAATTGGCAAACAAGCGGGTGGTGGCAGCTGCTGACTTGAGTCACAACCAACACCCGGCGCTAGAAGAGTCTACTGCAAATAGCCAAACAGGCGGAAGTCCTGCTTGCAAATATTTATGGCAAGGGCCGAGTCCAACACAAGACTTCATCTATCCAGGTTTGACCGTCTCACTGGTCTGACTGTGTGTTTCGTTTTAAGTGTCCCGTTCCGGGGTGGTGTAAAAGTGAAAGGCTTATGTTATTGCGATTTTTTGTGTGTGTGGGGGGGACTCAAAATGAGAATTTGAACCCCAACAATCGCGGGAGTTCGTGTCGGTTCAAGCAGAAACAACAACTAGGTTGCTGTTTCCCCCTGAGAGACCAGCCATGAAGAGCCAGGTTAGGAGGTAGCTTCCCATTTACCCTCAAGACGCAGGGATTCAATCCGCAATCTACACCACCAATCAATCCAGGGGTACCTTCCTTATCCTTTCCAGGGATCCTTCTTTGAAGGAAACTATCAAAAACCCGGGGGAAACAATTTGCCGGTTGTGGAAAAGAACGATGGTTAAAAAGAATGGAAAAGGAATCAACCCCGAGAACTAAGGGTTACCTGAAAAGAACGGTGCCTCAAGAGAAGTGGTACTCAGCACCTGGAAGCTTCCGGCTCACCTCGCCTCCTTCACGAGCTCACCCTCTGCCACCTGAGCGCCAGCGAGCGAGAACCAGTGCCACGCAACCCGAAAGAGGAAAAAAGAGCAAACGGGGGGCATCCCAGTTGCAGGGGGAGCTCACTAAGCATAAAAGGAACACTTACCCACAAAACATACGTGCCGGCCACAAGGTCATGATCGTGTGGCCAGGTTTAGGGTTCTTAGGGTTTAGGTTTAAGGTTTTCAGGGTTTAGGTTTATGCTTTTTAGGGCTCCGGTTTTGGGTTGTTAGGGCTTAGGTTTAGGGTTGTTAGGGTTTAGGTTGAGGGTTTTTAGGGTTTAGGTTTAGGGTGTTTCAGGGGTTTTAGTGTTGTTTTAGGGTTTAGGTTTAAGGTTTTTAGGGTTTAGGTTTAGGGGTTTGAGGGTTTTTAATAGGGTTTCTAGGGTTTATGTTTGCTTGGAGCTGGCTGTCCGGGGCATCTGAGGCTGGCTTCTCTGGTTTAGATTTAGGGTTGTGTTGACGATAGCAGTATATAACCAGGTAAAGTCGCCGCGCTCCATAAAGGGGGTATGGAGCATGAAGTGGGGCTCGGGGGGCTCGGAAGTCCTTTTTTGCTGCCCCTGCCACGTTTTTTGGAGGTCTCGGGGACCCGCTTCCGGGCGGTCGCGGGCAACACATACGTTTTGGCCGAACACTTACAACACATAGTTGGAAAGCATCATATTGATGCGTGATCGCATTTTTCCCCAACCAAAAGGAAACTCGAGGGTGGAATCGAATCTGGGTCAATTGCCGACCTCTTTAACATATGGGTCTCAAACTCCAGACAACATAATTTCCAACTTATTTAATGACATACAACCTCCACAACATACCTCACGCCCCGCTGGGCGTGAGGCCAAAGTGAAGCTCTCCGGGTTTGGGACCACCGGCGGCGCCAAGCCTCGGCCCGAGCCCAGCGCCCAAATGGGCGGCTCGTCTTCTTCAAGTTGGGCGGTAGGGACACGAGGTGGCGTGTCTTTGTTGTTAGTTCCCCAAAGTGGTGGGTTGATTTTGTTGGTTTCCCTTGAGAACCAAGGAGTACCCACTCTTTTCCCTTGAGCACCCAGCCAGCTTCCCTCCATCCCACTAACGTTGGGAGAAGAAACACAGGGCACCTCCAAGAGGCAAGTCATCTTCTGGGTACCCGCTATGTTTGTTGGAGGGAGGGTAGCTGGTTGTTCAAGGGAAATGAGTTGGTACTCCTTGGGTGGTTTTCAAGGGAAACCAAAAGGGTAAACCCTTTTTGGGGAAGGCTGAAAAAAAGACACGCCGAAATCACCATGCGATTTGTTCCCCACAGTTTTTTGTTTTGGTGATTTTCCGTAATGGTCATCCCGTGTAAGGCACACTTGATCAACCCCCAGAGGGGAAAGATCTGGCAACCGGGGAGAGGAACGTTGCCTCAACTCCAAGCCAGGTGCAAATGATCCGTCAATATTCATCGTGCCCCAATGGATGGTGAGCCCTCATTTCTCGCCCGTGCCTTGACACAAAGGACAGCCAAAAGAGTCGCTCATTTTTCAGCCCTGGCCATGGATAAGCTGCGAATGCCGTATGATCTTGCTGCCAGTGGCATGCAAATGTAGACATGAGCAGAACCTTTGGTGTCCTTTTGCCGTTTAGATTTGGTGCCCGGTCTAGGCATGAGGCCGTTTGATTGGACAGGACCTTTGAGCGCGGGAAAATGTTTTTTCTCTTAGTGTTGCCCAGTTATTTTCAGCCGACCAACAACAACGAACAGGTGGGAGGCGCCAGACTGACACCTGCTGAGTCCCGCTGCCAAACAAGTGCGCAAGTAGACGCAGATTTTCCGCAACACCCCTTTGGTTTCACAATGCGGCTCAAGGCCTTTTCTTTTGAGGAAAGAAGAGGGAGAGAGAAGGGAAAGCAAAAGGACCGTATAGAATATGAAACAAGCAGCCTGCAATGTAAGTGCCAAGCAAGTAGCGCCAGGAATGCCGGTTGGGCGCTTCTACTTTTTTAGTTGTCCTCCAAAAGCCATCAGAATTTCCAGGCCCTCCCCCAACTCACCCCGCAAAATGCCCGAAACTCTTTCTATTCTCCCGCAATCTCTGGCAAATCCACCAGAAACCGCTTTGGTTCATTCCAAGCACTACATGGTTGACGTTGGAAGGGGTGCAAACATTCTCAAATTTTAGCAGTTAAGTGGTTGGATTTCAACCACTAAACCACAATAAGCAAAAATGTGTCAAATGTCTCCCAACGACAACCAACCACTAGTTCTTCAATCGGAGTCAGCCAGAAGCCGCCTGATTGCAGCTTGCAACCAGTTGCGTCGGTATGCTTTTGCTCCAAGAACTCAAGCAACATGTAAACCTGATCTTCCATTTGCTTGAGCCACATGGCAAAATAAGGTATTTCCAGCAGTGAAATCGATTCCCTTTGAAACCAACAGGGGAAAAAACATACCCTCCCCCAGACTAACGTGGAAGCTCCCGAACGGACCCCTTTGGAAGACTTGGCTCCATTTACAGAGCTTCCACGTTAGTCTGAGGGAGTGTCATCTTAAGCAAACGGAAGTGATGTGTCGGCCCCCAAAACGTGATATAACAGGAGCTCCGGTAGGCTCAATTGAGGCTAAGTCGGGGCAGTTCGCTCTCGCTTTCAAGCCTTCTTGACAAAAAGGCCCTACGCAAAAAGTGGAAAATTGTGTTGATTGGTGGGAACCATGTCAACATGTTGAACTTTTGCGTAACATGTTTAACTTTCAAAAAAAAACAAGATGCTTAACTGTCCCAAGATGTTGAACATGCTAAACATCCAGCCAACAAGCGGCCTGCAAACCCCGACACATGGCTCGTTATGTGCCTCAACATCCCCTCAAAGGTTCAGAGGCAGCCTTAAAAAGATGAAACAATTCAGGACCTCCGTCAGGATCGATCCAACAACTGGAGGAACATCGGGGAAAAGGAAAGAGCCCCGGGCCTGAAGAACCCTCCTTGGAGGTCGTCCCTTGAATCATCTTCTCCGGACCCCCCGCTAGATTTCGATGAGCAAACATGGCCATTGGTTGGTCGCGCTTTTGTTTTTTAAAGGGAAACAACTCTCCAAAAAAGGAGGAAAGCCAAGCACTGCTGGAGTTCTGGGGGCAAGTGAGTCCCAGGTCCCGAAAATCTCTCATTACACCTTTCACGGCCCCAGAATTTGCCAAACTCGGCATGCGCCGGGCAGCGCTCCACTCGTGAGGGTGCAGGCACAGTGCCCTCGGGGGTGATTTCGTAGAGCACAAAGTAGGCATCCTGGCGGGTAAAATGCTGACCCTTTCCAGAGACTGGACACAAATCAGACACAAAGTCCAAACTTTGAGCAACTGAAATGGTCCAAGCCCCGAAACGTAAGTCCAGGAACTCTGTGAGAAGGCCGAACAAAGCCCACGCAAAACACCAATAACAACAAAAGTTCCAGAGTTGCCTTCTTCGCTTCGGCAGCCAAGCCTTATGTCTCAGGACTGCGCAAGTCTCTGGATTCCATGTTCCAAACATGTGCCGCGTACCGCTGCGAACGTCAAGATCTTCACTGGAGTTCGTCTTGCTGTCTATCTGAAGGCAAACCGATAGTTATGGCAAACTTAGGTGTACGACAGGGGTACGACTCCGGAACCCTTGAGTCAAGCAAAAGATTCTCGCCTTCACAGGTTGCCGTGGCAACTGATAGGGGGTGCCTTCAAAGATACCCTCCCACAGGTGGTATGCTCCTGGGAGAAAGTAAAAATACATGGGTCTGCAACAAAACATACGCAGGTTTCGGGGCTACGAACAACAGACTTGTCATGCATGCAGTCAGCACACGATAGTCCACCATGGTGGCCGATTTTGTCTCTCCCGAATCGAAGCCCAGAAATATTCATACACAATCTATTCAAACCCTAGGGCGGGGGGGAATGCGCACGACAGGGTGGCAGTTCAGCCCCCAATAGTGCATAAGTCCCAATAGCGCACAAGTTAAGGCTTGAATTCATGATCAGCAAGTGCCATTCACTTGACACCTTAAGCAACAAGCAAAAGACATGGCCTTTTTTTGGGTTGCCAGGCAAGGATGGTCCAATGCATGCTTCTCTTTTCGGCAATGCTTAGAAGGCCACAATGGGTCATTGACTCTTCCCAAACAACTCAAAATCCGGGGGTGGAGTCGCCGTGGCCGGCTCGGCCATCCAGTTCTCCGGCGGTTCTCCATGGCCCTTTTCCCCGGATGCTCACTGGATCTGCATGCGGAGCCGCCATAACTAGGCTGTCCTCAGATCCCCCGCTAAAAGTTTAACTTTTAGTGGGCTAAATGGAAACCCCCACTAAACACTAAAACGCTAAAAGGCTAAGGGGATGGCTGGGAGCCACCAAGAAGAATGGAATGGAACATGACCCTCCAGAAGAGATCGGCGCAAAGGGCAGCCAAAAGCAACACAGGGCTGGTTTTTTAAACCTTGTCAGTGGGAACAAACATGCCACCGATAAAAATGAGCAGGTCTTCGCGGTCGGAAAAGAGTCAAGATAAGGTGAGCCAATCCTCCCCTGGTATGCAAACCCATGTGGCCTTGTACCCAAATGGCTTGCGCTGGCAAATGGAACCAAGGACTAAAACCTGCAGTCCCCGGGTTAACGTTTGACCCATACCTATGCAAAGAAACAAACACCGGGCGGCTTCGGGCATCCCCTGCTTGAGACTGTCGCCTCCGAATATGCGGGCAGTGGTGAGAGCCGTTTGGGCCGGCCTCGCTGATCCTCTGGATGTCAACTGCGGGGTACGGCCTGGTTGCAGCAGTGGCAACTCAAGCCTGAAAGAACTCCCAGAGATGCTAAAAAGTGGCTGGAACCAAGGCTAAAAGGGCAACCAATCACTTCACATATCGGAAGCCGTCTTTGGGCAACCAACTTCCAGTTTCAAGGTGCTGTTCAGGCATGGGTCACATGCGCTGCGCGCTTGACCTGGAGCACCCCGTGGGCTTTGGTGGCCCTGGCATTTCGACCACACCTCACATGGACAAAAAGCTAGATGTCCTACACAACTTGACTAACATGCCGCTGGGCTCTGACGCAATTCCCACTTTCAGAGGTCCAAAAGAGACCGACTTTTGCCCACAAAGTGGGAGGTCTTCTGGCTGCGGGGGCCAAAAGCTATCAGGGGCCCCGCAAACAAATGAACCTTCGTTTCGGTTTGCTTGTGAAACCAACCAAGACGGGATCCTTGAGTTCTCCGGGGAGTCTTGTACTTGTCTTTAAACAACACCAAGGCAAGTCGCTCGAAACCACCATGGTCGTTTTGCCACTGTGTGGAACAGTACACTTCTGCGGCCAACCATTTGCTTGAACTCATGTCTAACTAGTCTTATGACCTCGAAATGCAAGCAGTTACTGGAGACTTTGCAAAACGATAAAACAAAAAGCTCAGGTGATATCCCCGGCAGCATGCGGTTCTCTTCTTAGTGCTCGCACATCGAAATGCAAGCAGCTGCTGGCAAGTGTGAAAAGATCTAAAGCAACAACATAATCGGACAGCGCAGCAAAACAAAAAAAGGAAAAAAACACGGTGCAGCAAGGCAAAAACAAAAAAAACAACAAACAAAAAAACAGAGACTGCAGTCGACTGCGCTGTGTGAAAGACCCCAACGGACAGTGACAGTCGATGGGCGCATCGGTTTGGATTTGTTCAGGGCCCTGGGAAGGCCAGCGGTCGGTTGAGCCCGGTCGGAGCTTGGGCTCCGTTTTCAGGGTGACCCCATGTAAAAAGAAGGAGAAAATACCAAGAACAAAAACACACGGTGAACAAGTATGTGGGTGGGGTGGGGGGTGTTTTTTGGTGATTTTTTCCAGGTTGGGGGGGGGTGGTCCAATTAATGCTGACCCCGCTGTAAATCAACCCCTGTTTAGTAAATCTGCGAGGGGTTTTGGCACCAGAGTGGTCTGATTCCCACTGAAGCCAAATCTAAAGACCCCCTTAGTAACAAACTGGGGTTGAGTCATATGGCTGTGGCTAGAAAAACCGGTACCGAAATGGAACCCTGGCAAGTGGAAACATGGACCAAAACCTGCGTAACCCCTCCTGGTTCATTTTGAGCCACACCCATATGGGGGCAACATTACTCTCTACAAGAGAGTTAAAGGTTCCAATCCCCAATGGCCCAAGCCACCGAACAAAAGGCGATGTGGCGATGTGCCGATAACTGGGAATGGAAGTCTGATTCAAAGTTGGCTCCATTTGCCATGTTGGTACATGTTTTTGAGCCACTCCTTCAGGTTTCAGGAATGCTGCGAATTCCTAAGCTTTCTCGGCTACTCTCACCGCAGGAAACCCATCGGGGTCCCATGTAACAGCTTGGGAACAAAAAGCGGCGTTGGTGGCAAGCAGTCGCAGTCGCAGCCAAAGGAGAGAAAGACCGCAAACTAGATGGGTGTGTCTCTTTGTTTGAGGCCCATTTTGGCTGTGGGTCAAAACCGCTATGGTACCATTCTGGTTGGTAGGTGCACCACCCATTTCAGAACCTATTTTAGTGGGGATTGAATCGGATGTTCACAGGGGGTACGATTTGGCTTTTGAAAAGCCCATGGCCGTTTTGGGCGTGGTTTCAAGGGAAGTCAAAAGGCAACGACTCCTTTTGGGGCTTCGAGAAGCCAGATGGCTTCGACGATTCGAGAAGCCAAGCGACGTGTCCCATGTGAATTCTGAGACCCCAGGCAGGGAGAAAGGCGCCTTGTTGTAGTCCTGAGACATGTCGAGCGCCCTCCTTTTGGAATGGCTTCCGTTGGAGCAACAAAAATGCACATCAGGGGTAGCAAAACGACAAAACGCGCCCTTCGCCGGAAAAAGAGCCCCTTTGTGGGATAGGGACTTGACTTTCCCAGTCATGAATACGCCAGCCAGCCAAATTGAAAACTGTGAAAACTCAACAGGTACGAGCGTCTTGTTGTTTACGAAAAAAGGGAGAGAGACAACAGCTCATAGACCTGAACAAAGGAATCCCAAGGAACGTTTATCCTGGGGTCGGTTTCCAAAACCGCTTTGTGAGGTCTCCATCGTTTGCCGCTCATCCTACCCCGAGTGAACTTGCCCGATCAAAAAGACAAACGCGTGGTTTCCAACGACGGTGCTTAGTTGGACATGTCAGAAATCCCTCTACATCTCAAAGTACTATCAAAGGCTGGCCAGTGGTTTGGGGTCATACCCCAGAACCCCAATTTTCTGCTGATTTTCCCGCCCTTAGGGTAGCTTTGTTCGCTGATCCCTTACAACTTTTTTTCTCCCCCTTTTGGAGGGCGCTTAAAAGTAACAAAACAACAAGGACAGCCATGAGCCCTATGTCACCTTGGTAGGTACTGTGTGTGTGTGCTTTGGAATATACCACGTGCGCATGAGTCTACTCCCTTGAAACGGTCAGAAGATGTGAGGCCCGAAGACTCACTTCCTGAGTGGAGCCAAAAGGCCCCAAAGGGGAAACCAAAAAGGTCCAAAGGTCGATTCGCTTTGGGCAAGTGAGATATAGGTGAACCTTGGTTAGGGACTCGAAACGGTGGACATTCAGGTTGGGATTCAGATTCACGTCCACCACTTTCAGGCAGCCACTTATTCAATCCGCGTAGCCAGGTCAGACATAGGTGTGGATTTTGGTTACTCGAAATGGTGGACGTCATCTCTTCAATCCATATAGCCATATTTCAAGCAACCGGAGAGGAAACCCAAAGACCGGGCGCGCGGGCATACTTTGTGTAGTGCAGGTGCTTGTCGATGCGCTTTTCCCAGCCGGTGTTGTCGGCGTCTGCATGGACCTCAGACCGCTGTGCTTTTCACGGACTCGTGAGCACATTGCTTTAAGCAAGTACACCCAAAAATCCTGAACTGCACTTCCTGAGTGGATCCGCCCAAGAAAGTCCAAACTGAATATTTGTTATTTTTGGTAGGCTTTTTGTTGACTTCTTGTTTACCGCCAACATGGGCTTCAGAAAGGTGGCTCAAGTCCGAAACGGGAGGGAGTGAAGCCCACTCCTCTTCCCCAACCGCCAGCTTTGGGATCGCAGGGCTGCGGAGAGGTCCGTGAGGTGTGTGGCTCCGGGGAGCTTTTCAAGAGGACGCTCTTCCCAAAGCCTCGTAGCTTCCGCGAGCCTGGACTTTTCCATTAGACCACGGTGCAAACGTATGATAAGCTCAGGTGATATCCCCAACAGCATGTGGTGGAATTCTGGTGGAACCCTTGTGGAACCTTACCTCAGGGCCGCCCCGCACCACCCCGGAGCCTATCTGGGCTGAGACCCCAAAGCTTTCAGCTGTTGGGAGAAAACAAAAAGGGGTCCACCACTTCTCTGGCTCCCAACTGCGCTTCGCAGTTTAATGATACACCCAGACGCTCCTGGCTTCGGCTTCTTTACTGGAAGACTCATGGGACCCTCCATTGGACACCCCAAAGCCGGCTTTGGGGTCTCAACACCGTGTGGCTCAAAATTAAACAGGGGCAGACCGCAGGTTTTGGTTTCCATGTTTCCACTTACCAGGGTCCATTTTGGAATTCCGGCTTTTTGCCCCACAGCCACCTGGCTGTTTGAGGGCCCAACATCCATCGAATTGGAGCGTCCCGGCATGAGAATTCTCATCAAAACCTCTGAATGCACAGCGTTCAAAGAGCTTGGCTGGAAAAAAGGGACCCCAGCAAATATATATATATATATATATATATATATCTTTTTTGCCTGGTTCGCGGAAAAGCAAGGGGGCCCCAAAAAAGCAAAGAAGGAAAACGGGGAACCAATTCTCGGGGAAGAGAGTTGGCTGACTGTGAAAGTGTGCATCGCCCCTTGGAAAGGATTCGCACTCCGGCCGTTGGGATGAAGGAATTAATGCGGGCCTGTCTTTTGCTTTTTGGGTGCCCTGTTTGGATGGCTCTAAAGGGAAACCAACAGGAAAGCCAAGATTTTGGTGAGACAGACGCAGACCAATTTCCATTGCGACTTTCGCTCGCGTCAGATTAGGACATCCGGATTTTGGACAAACCCTTGCTAGCCCGCCCCGTCCGGACTCCACCTCTTGCTTTTCACGCGAAGGCGAGCGCCTTGCATCAGTTCCATTTGCGATCAGCGGTGGAGTCTGCCAGTGAAACTTGTGAGTTGTTGTTTGCGTGCTCTAGGTGCCAAGGAAAACACGGACAACCAGTCACCCTCAAAACACATAAAGACACAACCTGCTGCAGCTGAATCTGGCTCGCAACATCGCAGGAATTCCTGCAAGCTGCTTCCCCCATTGGCAAGATCTCCCCGCGAGTATTCGGCTCCATATCTGTTGCCTGCGCCCTGCAAGATGAGCTTCGTTCGAGTCGAGCGCAGGAATGCATTGAAGGCTTGTGCGTTGCACATAGCTATGTGTCAAAATAGGGACAATGGTGGGGTTTCCTTTTTTGGTGTCCCTCTAAACAATCCTGAAACCGGCACCCTAAACACAAACCAGCCCGGAACCCAACAACTTAAGCTCATTCCATGAATCAGGGACACCCTTTGAAAGGGAAGACAACACCCAGTACCAAATAGTGGGAACTTGTCGATCGCTGAGCTGGGGGTGTGTCCCACCCTTGGGACCCTTCACTGGTGGAACATCCCCAATGCGCTAGGTTGACGAATGGCTTTTGGTCATAGTCAAGCGACGTTTTCTTGCCGGATCCGTTGGGCTGTTTGCATGTCCGCAAACTCCATGCATTCGAAAAGAAGAGATGCTCATGAAAGAAACTTTCAGTTTTCCTTGTCCAGGTTCTATGCACCCCAACGCCATACAATCCCGGCTTCCTGTCGCGGTGTTTTTGGGGATGGTGTGGCTACCTGCTTTTGTCGCGTTTGCCTCCGATTTGCCTCTTGGCCCCGGTGGAAACCTTGGCAGTCAATTTCCGAGTCACCTGAATCAAACATGTTAAGCTCCAAAAAAAGTTGCTAGGGTTGCCTGAAGTCCTGGGAATGAAACATGGGCACACCAGTGGACATGGACAGGCAAAAGCCGTGCTTTTGTTAGGTTTACTGGGAATTCAAAAAAAACAAAAAGGCAACCGGCAATGACAACTCACCAACCTACTCGCCTTCCACTTGTCTCAAACATGCGGCTCTTTCGCGCAAGCCTCCGAATCCGTGTTCCAGTCTTTGGCTACCCCCAAATGGACTTAAACCCGTTATCATATGTTTCACATGGCCGCCCCGATGTGATTTGGCTAAAAAGCGGGTTATGAAACCTACGTGCAATTGGGGCTTACTTGGTTTATACTTTGAGCAAACCCCGGCGGCCAAGCAAGGCACGGGTCGAAGTCCTTCTAGGCAGAACCAGTGGAACCCGAATTGGTCTGAACCAATCAGACTCGGCTCTCTCAGAAGAGGTTCCTCAGAGGGAATGCGGCTGGCTGTTCTGGTTTCCCTTTTTGGCCTGCTTTTTTGAGGCCGCTCCTGTTTGGTTGGATTGAACGGAAAACCATAAGGAGATAGCCGATTGTGTTTTTCCTTTTTGTTTTGTCTATTTTAGTAAGGGAACCCTCCCCACAAACAAGTAAAACAAGTTGGTACCAACGTTTTTCGTTTTGTCTACTTTAGCCAGGGAACCCAAAATATACCTGTGAGCCATCTTTTTTGGCGGTCTCCCATGTTCACTGGACCTTTTGATCAACCCAAGAACACATGCAGAGAGCATCGGGTTGGCTTGAGCCCGGCGATCCGGACTTTTGTCACTCTTGACTGAGCTAAAACGGGCGACCGCCAAGCAATTTAGACCAACCTTCTGCATAAATCTGAACCAATCTTTGTCCAACACCTGAAATGTGGGGGATAATTACAACATATGGGATCTTTTTCCTTTCCTGTCCTTTCCCTTCTTTTCTGTGAACCTGGTCCGCGTGACACGGTCAGCTGTTTGCGGGCTCCCCAAGTAGGATCTTTACTATGTCGTTTTTCTTTTAGGTGAGTATGCAGACTGCTCAAGGACTGGGGACCTGCCTGCAGGCTCAAGCCATGGCCAAGCGGCGTCTTCTTCATGATGCGCAGGAACTCCTCCTGCGAAGGATCAAAAACTTGCTCACCGTTGAAAGACTGAGCTGTCCTCAGATCCCCGCTAAAAGTGACTAACTTTTAGTTGGCTAAATGGAAACCCTCACCAAAGACAAACAAGCTAGAAAGCTAAGGGGATGGCTGGGAGCCACCAAGTGAAACGGTGCCCCTGCATTGTTGCAGTTCTGGTTCAAATGAGGGCAAAAGCGTCCAATGTAACAAGGCAGCTCCTTCTTGAACAGCCCCACGAACAAAAGAAAAAGACAACAACTCTAAGATGTGGCGGAGCCCCTGGAAAAAACGGAACGATGACGCCCTGAACTCCTGAACTGGGCTTGACCCCGCGGACTGTGACACGGCAAGGATTAGACGCGCTCGGGGGTTGGGACTCGAACGGCTGGAATTTCCCTGAGGTTGACCAGAAAAACTTGGTGGCTCAAACCTCACTTGCCCAGTTCGGACCCAGAAATAAAAGGCTCACCTTTTGGGGCCATGACTAAAACCTGACCAAAAAGGAGAAACCAAAAGGTCAAAAGGTCGATTTGCTTTTGGGCAACTGAGAAACCTATGCAGTAGATCGCCACCAAATGCACTTGCCCTTTTGGCTCGCTGATCTTGAAAGGCTCCCCGGTGGGAGATGGATCGCCTGAAGCCAGATTGCTTCTGTTGAGATAACTCAATGAACGGGCCAAAGCCAAACAAAGGTATGGGCTCGATCCGCCAATGGATTCAAGGGGGGGGAGGGGCTGGAGGGTTCGATTCTGCTGATTCTGGTGTTGGTGATACTCCTTGGGATTGTTCGAACATTTTATTACCTGGGTTTCCCGACAAAATCAAACGAAGCTGATTAATGGGCATGGGAAGCTAGGCTGGTTTTCCACAGTCGGCAGACACAAGTCAAACGGCAAGCGACAAGACTGGGCCAAGAACAAGCAAAGCCCAACAACGAGACTTGAAAAACATAAGAAGGCAACACACAAAAGCCGAACGCGCATTTTTCTATTGGGAATTTAGCATCAACGACACAATAAGTCCAGATGGTATCCCCCAATAGCTTTCCGGAACCCTTCCGCAACCTCCAGACCCTCCCTGAAAGTCGCTCCGAACCACCCCAGAGTTTCTGCGGGCCGTGGAACAATTTACATAACCCAGCCACCCAGCCACCCTAAACCAAGCAAATGACCATGGGCAACTTCTCCCATGTGGTTGACACATCATCTTGTTGGCTTTCCATCCCTTTTGGTCCTCCCACTGAGGGTCCTCCAGTAGAGAGGTTAGAAGAAGGGTACCAATTTTTTTCTGTTTTGTCAATTTTAGTCAGGGAACCCTCCCAACCAAGAAAGAAACGGTGAGAAAGGGCACCTAGCTGGGGAACCTAGCCCGGGTTTGCCGGACCCTTTTGATCACTCCAATGGCTGGTTGCTTTCTGCTCCCCTGCTAAAAGTGACTAACTTTTAGTGGATTAATGGACAACCCACTAGTTGGCAAAAAGTTAAAGTCCTAACATCCAAGCAAAATGCAGCAAAGTGTTGATCACTCCAATGGCTGGTCGCCTGTTCCATCTACGAGGCGAAGCCTTTTTCGCGACGCGATTCGGCCACCGGCCTCGTTGACCTCGCCGTCCCCGTCGCGGTCCGCCTCGTCGATCATCTCCTGAAGCTCCTGGCGAGAAGACGGGGATGGGACTGGAGATGGTGGACATTCAGGTTGGGATTCATGTCTATCAATTGACGTGCTCCCATTTGCTTCAGCCCCCCGGAAAACACACATAAATGTTGTCCATGTTTGCTGAATGCCCTTCAAAACCAACCGGGGAAAAAGCAAATTTCATTTCAGCAAATCAGAAGCGTGCTTTCGTTTTTTGGCTACGGAACTCCGAATCCAACCGGCGCATGAACTCCTCGTCGGTCATGCGCTCGCCCAGCTCCTGCGCTAAGGCTTGACGAAAGCTGCCGGGGGTTTTCTGGCATCGCCAGGAATTGGTGGACCCCCAACCTGATTCTTTGGACCCATAGGCCAAACAGGTTTATTTATGAGGAGGTCGAAAACAGGTTTGTGGTTGGAAAAAACAGGGTCCCCCATCGCTGGCTCATTTGCGATCCGTCTTGACCCCAAAATGGGTGGGTGTTCCTCTCGGCGTCCCTTAAAAGCCAGCAACCATTTGATATCCTCAACAAATAGACACACCCAACTGGGCCTTCCTCTAAAAATCAAGAGGATCACCGGGCCGGGTTCGAGAACCCAGGTCTCTCACTCGCTCAACTCGCTTGTCCCCCTCTCAAGTTTGGACAACCCAGCTGGGTCTTTCTCAGCTCAGATGCCCAGTGGCCAGGGGAAAAAAGGGGCATCCTTTTTTTGGTTGTTTGAGTTTAAAGGGGAACCCTTCCCAAAAAAGACGTCGAACAAAGGAAGCAACCCACTGGTTGCAACTCTCAGGGAATGCCCTGCCTTGGCCACACGCTTCAGATTCTTGAAAGAGATCTTCCCCGTCTCGTCGTCGTCGAAGAGCCGGAAGGCCTCTCTCTTTTCCGCGAGCGGAAATATGGGCTGTCCTCCAGTAGAGAGGTTAGAATAAGGGTACCCTTTTTCTGTAGTCTATTTTACTAGGGGAACCCTCCCCCAAAAAAGTTGGTCAAAGGGCACTACTTGGGGACCTAGATGGGCGAAAAGCCATCGACCTGTCCTTTCGACTTGTTGCTAGAGGGAGTTGAGTGGACCCCACATTGGCCTTTTGTTCCACTTTAAAACCACCAAACAAAGGTACCGCCAATAAAAACACACACAAATGGCCGCGCCTTGGAAAACAGTGCTACTGACTGACTTGTAGGCTAATAGATAAAGAGATAAGCTCGTCCGATGTGGGTTACTTGGACCATGGACCAATGGGTTTCTGTCCTTGCAAAAGCCCTGGAACTAAGATGATCGCCTTGAACCTTGAGCTATGAACCATAGGACTTGAAAACGGAAAGCTCAATCTCCACAACCCCCTCCCTGAAAGGTTCCCGAAGGGCCAACACGCCGAAGCCCTTCCTAAAAAAACACATTGCATCCCGTGGCTTCTTTAGGAACCACATGGGGGTGTGAACTTTAACTGGGGGCAAAGGCTGAATGTATGCGTCCCTTTATGAGCCCCTGCTATGAACACCTAGTTTATGGGTGAACTATTCGCTAGTTCTGACTTAACCATTGGACATCCGCCCCTATCCACAATGGCCATGGGTTCATTCATGGACCTAGACAATCAGGTCTTTGATGGGGATCCTTTTAGCGGTAGATTTCCGAACCAAAAAAGGGACACGCCTCAAAAGGAAGCTTCCAAAGGTGCCAAAGAGGGGTCGAACAATTGCAAGTCACTAGATCTTCAAAGTTTACAACTCGAGAACTGGACATGGGTGGCTCGTCCCTTTTTGGAGTTGGTAACCTTTTGGTACTTTTAATGTTGTTTAAAAGGGAAACACAAAGGACAACACAAATCCATGTTCAGGTCCCGGGGGGGAAAAAAAACAGACACGACTAGCCAAATTGACCCAGGTTTCTCGGACCATAGCTTTCGATCTAGACCCCGGATTGGTGGAATTCCCATGAAACAGGCAGCCAGGGACGCACCGCGTGCCGGCCGAGAAAGGCGATTCCAGCATCATGGACACGCATACCTTGGGAGACTCTACCAGATATTAACCCTTTTGCCCACCTAAGTGTGTCCAGATATACCCTTTTGCCCACCTTTTTGTGGGTTGGCCAGGAAAAGTCCACACAGTCTTACCACACCAAACGCTCCAAGCCCAACACAGGTCCAAGCCCCGGGACTGAAAGGCAAAGAGGACTCCAGGGAAGAGATGTTGCTTGGGGTCGACCCAAAAATGCCGTCCCAAAAAGGGGCGGCATTCTTTTTTTTAAATCTCATAGACCTCCCACCCAAAAAGGGGCGGCATGTGTTTGTTTCTTCTTTTTGTTTTCTACTTTTTGTTTTCTCTCGCAGATAGACCTCCGGCATCGATGCGGTCCTTGAGGATCTCGTCCTTGGGGTCCCGGTTCAGGATCTTGTGGGTCATCATCTTCAGGAACTCCTCGTAGCCGATGGTGCCCGAGCCATCATCCTCAGATGCGCCAGTCGCCGGATCTCGAATCCAGCGGCGCCTGGATGGTCCATGGTGCCCCGCCCCACACCAAGAAAATGAGGCTCTGAACACCGGGGGATTTTCCCTTTAAAAGGGGCGATTTACTGGTGATGTTCCATTGAACTCCAGCAATTTTGGAGGTTCCAAGGGACATGAGTCAGAATCAAAACCCGGTACACAAATGGTCGTAATCCCAGAACCATGCGTCAAGAACTTAGAAGGCGGAGTTCCGCAGCTATTGATGGCTGGGATCGTCCAGGTTTTGATTGTGGCTCACATATCGATACCAGAACAGATCCATCGGGGCCTGGATGGTCTAACCCCACCCCACACCAAAACCGATACCCTGAACACATGGCGGACATCCAAAGGCGGCTTTTCTGCGGGCCTCCCTTTGGACCGTTTCGAGTCCGACGATTTTCATGCTCCATTCCGTTTCGGTGTTGGTTTGATGAGTTGTTGAGAGATAGTGTCCGTTCTCCCGAAAGGCAGATTTGGTTTGATGCTTCCAAAGACGGGTGTTGCAACTTGTCAAGTGATGCCCTTTCACATTGCCCGCTCAAATGTCAAAGAAAACCATTCGCGAGGTACCCCAAAACCACGAAGCCCGGACAAAGCTCCTTTGGCCATGAGAGGAAAAAGGGTGACCCAAGTATTGGCATCAAGTTTTGACCGAGCAGGCCCCAGGTACACCAAGAATACATTCGGTTTCAGATTCAGCCAACCTGTACATTTTACATGCATCCCCCAAGGGAACCATATTTTGACAAACCAATCGGACACGGTTGCTGGTTACCTACTCTAGTGGTAACTGGGAGCTGGGATCCAACTGGAGAAGTCCCCCCCCCAAGTTTGCCAAAAAGGCGTCGCTTCTGACCTTTCCCCCGCTCGCAAAAACAACTTGTGCGTCGCTTCTGACCCAACCCCCACCCCCGGCTCGCCTCGCAAAAAACTTGTCCAAGGCACGTCCACGTCGGAGATCATCTTCTGAATCTCCTCCTTCTTGGGCTCGAAGCCAAGAGCGCGCATGGCCACCTGGCCAACATATCTCGAGGTTCGCGGAAAGCTTCCCATTGACCAAAGATCAGCTCTGGGGGTCAATCCATCAACACAAAGGGTGGGGTAAGCAAATATTATATATATTATAATATATATATATATACATATCCACTATGATTTACCTAAGGAGCTTCTTTATCCGAACATGGGTCCTTGGCATTTAATGAGGGTACCCTGGGGGCAACCCTTTTACCAGTTGGTCTTCCCAAGCTTCCAGTTCAGGACCTTCAGGCGGAGCATCTCATCCGCATCTGGGCGGCCCATTTTGGGATCTGCGAAAAGTGACGAACTGTTTGTGTTCGTTAAATGCGGAAATCCAACCACCACACACAAAATAAACAGCTAAGGGGATGGATGGTCCCGAGCCACCAAGACATAATATTCATAAGACTGTGTAATACAAACCCCTGATATCACCAGGGCTTGCCCTCGAGCGCCTTTCTGGTTTTGTGACATTGTCATTTCCCCCGCTTGCGCGCAGCCGCCTCAAAACAACAGCCGACTCCACAAAGTGAACTGTGCCCCCCAATCTGGCAATGGGTGGGTGGGTCACCACAATCAGCAGTTTCTGTAGTCTTCCTGGGAGTTCCTAACCCTGAAACCACCAAAAAGGCTGAAAGGTTCGGGTGGCATCTTAAAGGTTAAACCTCTAAAATTGTGGCTGTAAAACCTCTATGGGCGGGTCTTTTTTTTTGTTCAAGGCTAGAACTCGTGTTATGGTGGTACCTTGCAAAACAGCCCCGACTTGAGAGTTATGGAGATATAGTCTCATATAAGGCATACATGCTGCGAACAATCCATTTGCGGTACACAAGCCTCCATTGCGACCAAATCCTAAACCACCAACCCGGCAATCCACCCATCCAAGGTGTCGCGAGTGTTTTCCATGAAACCAAATCCAAGCAGCGTGGGCAAAAGACTTCGTGGTTCATTCATCCCTTGCTCGGAGTGAACGTTCTTATGGGAAATGTCACCTGGGTGACCCGTTCACCGGGTTGTAACAAATGGATTTATTTCACGTGTTACACACATGTCATGTGTCTTTTGTTGAGAGTACCTTTAAAGTTTTCGGGAGTTGTTTGCGGCTACAGGAAAAGAACCCGCATGATTGTCCTAGCGCAATCGCGTTGATCAGAGCCCGTTCGAGCCATCTCTCAGCTCTCAAGAACTATGACATCTATTGGCCGGCCGCCAGGAAAGACACGGGCCCACTTCAGATATGGGTATGGGTGTGTGTGTGTGTGTCAACATGGGGACCCTCCAAATTTGTGTCTTTTTTCGGGCTTCCCTTCAAACCACCCTTTAACAACAAAAAACAAAAAACAAGTAGCTCTATAAAGGCACGCACACAAACGTGTCACAAGTGTTGCCATTTCTTCCCTCCAAAAAAAGTATTGGATCCCGAAGTAAAGGATGTGCATGGCTTTTGCTCGGACCCCCGAATCGGTCGCTAAGAACCCAGCTGTTCAGTGACCCGAATCGGTCGAAGGTCGACAAAGGGAACCTAGTGGGGCCAAACCACGGGGGTCAAAAAGGAATCCTTCACGAGGGAGTCGATCATTGTTCCACGAAAGCGGGCAAAAAGCTTTTCTTGGGCCAAAGTGGCTCTGAACTGGGAAAGCACATTCACCTCACTTCCTGAGTGGCCAACAAGTCCACACTTTTTGGTTGCCACTCTAGGAACTCGGGAAGTGAGTCAGTCGAATCTGGGAAACGTGGTTTCTCAACACCACAAGTGACCTTGTGGGAAAATATGCGCTCCTGGTGAATCGGCATTAAAAGCCAATCTAAAAACCAACGCCCATCCCATTTCTGAGCAGACGAACCGATGAACACGACACCTATGTTTTTTTTAAACCCATTTTAGAAGCGGCTTTAAAGGGAAGCACAAAGGAAAACACACATTTTGGGGGGGAACCTATGCTCAAGGCTGAACCGGATTTGCCATCTATTTCTGAGCAAACGAACCTAAAAAGGACACCTCACTAACCTAAAAAGGACACCTAACTAACCTAAAACTGACACCTACCTAACCTAAAACTGACACCTACCCAACCTAAAACTGACACCTACCTAACCTAAAACTGACACCTACCTAACCTAAAACTGACACCTAACTAACCTAAAACTGACACCTACCTAACCTAAAACTGACACCTACCTAACCTAAAATTGACACCTACCTAACCTAAAATTGACACCTACCTAACCTAAAAAGACACCTAACTAACCTAAAACTGACACCTACTTAACCTAAAACTGACACCTACCTAACCTAAAACTGACACCTACCTAACCTAAAAAAAAACACCTACCTAACCTAAAACTGACACCTACCTAACCTAAAACTGACACCTACCTAACCTAAACTGACACCTAACTAACCTAAAACTGACACCTACTTAACCTAAAACTGACACCTACCTAACCTAAAACTGACACCTACCTAACCTAAAAAAAAACACCTACCTAACCTAAAACTGACACCTACCTAACCTAAAACTGACACCTACCTAACCTAAACTGACACCTAACTAACCTAAAACTGACACCTACCTAACCTAAAACTGACACCTACCTAACCTAAAACTGACACCTACCTAACCTAAAACTGACACCTACCTAACCTAAAACTGACACCTACCTAACCAAAAAATGACACCTACCTAACCTAAAACTGACACCTACCTAACCTAAAATTGACACCTACCTAACCTAAAACTGACACCTCACTAACCTAAAAAGCACACCTACCTAACCTAAAATTGACACCTACCCAACCTAAAATTGACACCTAGCTAACCTAAAACTGACACCTACCTAACCTAAAATTTACACCTACCTAACCTAAAACTGACACCTACCTAACCAAAAAATGACACCTACCTAACCTAAAACTGACACCTACCTAACCTAAAATTGACACCTACCTAACCTAAAACTGACACCTCACTAACCTAAAAAGCACACCTACCTAACCTAAAATTGACACCTACCCAACCTAAAATTGACACCTAGCTAACCTAAAAAAGGACACCTACATAACCTAAAAAGGACACCTCTCTAACCTAAAACTGACACCTACCTAACCTCTAAAGAGCACACCTATGCTTGCAACACCTAGCTGGATTCACCTTTCCGGAAGCCGCGGTTGAGTTCTTCGCCTTGAGCTCCTTGGAGTCGATCTCGCCGGAGCCGTCGGTGTCGAACAAGTCGAAGGCCTGGGGTTCTCGTGGGCCAAACCAAAACGCCGGATGCGGGGCGAAACCAGAAAAAGGTGGCCCGAAAAAGGAGCAAAGAGAGAGACTGGTGATCCTTTCCCTCTGAATTCTGGTCCATACTTCGTGAAAGAGAGAGAGAGAGAGAGAGAGCGAGTGAGAGAGAGAGACAGGGGGAGAGAGAGGGGGAGAGAGACAAAGGGAGAGAGAGAGAGAGAATCCATTTCCTTGTGAGCAAAGTAGATCAAGGTTCAAAGACAAGTCAACCGCACTTGCAGTCCAGAATAAACTCCGACATTGCTTACGGTCTGAGTCTGGGATCCTGGAATAAGGTGAATTGCCCAATCAAGCAACAAACAAGTCCAACTGAATCCCAGGCGGTTAAAGATCAAACCAAACAAGTTAACTTCGCACAAGACCAAGCAGAACACCCGCAAGGTTTCTTGTTGTTCAAAGAAAGAGAGAGAGAGAGAGAGAGAAAAAAAAAACAAAAGAAAGAAAGAAAGAAAACAAAAAACAAAAAAGAAACAAAGAAACAAAGAAAGAAAGAAAGAAAGAAAGAAAGAAAGAAAGAAAGAAAGAAATAAAGAAAGAAACACGGATCGAAAGAGAAAAAAGAAAGAAAGAAAGAAAGAAAGATCGAAAGAGAAAAAGAAAGAAAGAAAGAAAGAAAGAAAGAAAGAAAGAAAGAAAGAAAGAAAGAAAGAAAGAAAGAAATAAAGAAACAAAGACAGAAAGAAAGAAAGAAAGAAAGAAAGAAAGAAAGAAAGAAAGAAAGAAAGAAAGAAATAAAGAAAGAAGGAAAGGAACACTTAAGAACAAAAAACGGAATCGTGAAAGAAAGAACGAAAGAAAACCAGAAATACATACATAAATAATTGTTGTTGTTTTTTTAGAAAAAAAAAACAAAAAAAAAACGAAAGAACTAAATACAGGCACAGGAAATAGACACAGACATAAACAAATAAAGAACTATAAAGAAATACACCACGAAAGACATCAAGCCAGAAAAAAGAACGAAACACGGAAATAAAGAACAAACATACGCAATAACAAAAGAGCGAAACAGCAAAGAAAGACAGAAATAACAAAGTAAACATAACAATAAATAACTAACAACGAAAATAAATGAAGATAAATAAAGAAAGGTAGAAAGAAAGAAAGACCAGAGCAAGAAGACACAAACAAAGAAGACAGCAACAAAAAGAGGGACACATATTTTAACAGAGAGAGGGAGAGAGAGATAAACAAACAAGAACAAAATAAAACAAAAAATATACTCAGCCAGTGAAAGAACAGAGTTTCATCTGCTCTATTCCCAATCAAGAAACAGAACAATCAAGCTGACTTTCCCCAAACGGCGGTAACCACACAAAAGCGCGAGGAGTTCATCTGCCTCCTTGATCTCCTGCTTCTGCTCCTCGGTGAGCTCCTTCTGCTTCTTTCCACCTATTTGCTTCTGCCGAACTCGGCTTCCGGTACCCGTACGGGTCGAGGGGATTTCTGAGGAAGGGACACCGAGAGGAACGTCACAAGGAAGGTGGTCCCCCACTATGTTTATTGACACAGGAAAGCCAAAAGGTAAGGCAATGTATGAAGACACTCTTCTAGGATTCTAGGGGGTTGATTCCTTTAGCAAATTCTTTTAAACCATCGTTTTTTTCAAAAACCGGCAAATCGTTACCCCTGGGTTTTTGGATGGTTTCCTGAAAAGAAGGATCCCTGGAAAGAATGGGGAAGGTGCCCGTAGAACTATGTTTATTGACACGGGAAAGACAAAAGGTAAGGGAATGTGTACAGATTGTGCACTGCACCTCTAGTTTAATTGATTGATGAACCATGAAATGTGGCTTGATTGTGGGAAACCTGCCTCCTAAAAAGGTTCAAAATGGATTCCCATCGGTTGATTTACGGGTGTGTACCATCCATCAGCCTTTGAAGCACGGTTGCGGAAAATATACCTTTCCGTGATACCGAACTGGGCGTCTCGTTCCTATGCCCACTTCACTTTACAGGAGATTGCCTTGGCCACTCACAGAAGGGGCCCCAAAGCCCCATTTCCTACAACCATGAACAACTGGCAGTCCCCAAGCAGGGTTTCTACCGGGCTTGGGCAACCTTTGGCCATGGGTGAAAAGCCCGTACCCCCAGTGAACATCCCAATCCCCATTAAAATAGAATCCCAGAATGGTACCATTGGTTTTGAACCATGGCCATATGACAGGAATCCGAAGAAGCACATGGGCCAACACTTTCGGGGGGTTTTATCGCAGGCAGGGCGTCTCTGGTTAGCTCCAGCCCCAGAACGGGATCAGATTCGCGATTCGCGCGGTGTCATGGGGCCTGAAACAGGAGGCGGCTTTTTGTTACCCGTTGGTTCCGCTATTCCAGGGGGACCTTCCCCATTCTTTCCAGGGATCCTGCTTTCTAGAAAACCTTTGGAAACCCAGGGAAAACGACTATTTTTGAGAACAAAGATGGCGCACCTACCCCAACATGGTACCTTTGGTTTTGACCCAACAAGACCGGACACCGAAAGGTGATTTGAGTCTATGGTGCTCGCAACACGTTTAAACAAGGGGTTGGCCCAACCCCGGTTTCGTCACACATGTTTTTGGAGCACCTGAATTTGACTGCCCTTGGCCCGTTTCGGCCCATTCTTCTCACCAGTTGGGAGCCCGTGGATAGCCAGAGGAAAAATCCCAGGTGTGCGCAGTGTGAAGTGCGAATCTGTCAAACAAGTTTGCCCATAGGAACCAACAGCTCGCCATAAACAAGGTCGACAATGGGAAACCAAACACAGCAACAATGGAACCGCCTTCAAAGCGAGCAACATTGGATAACCAAAAGCGTCAGCTCAGATCGCTGTCGACTGGTATGTCAGAACTAGTGCCTTAGAACCAATGCTGCAAGACTTTGAGACCTTGGTATGTTGTCACTTGCCCATAGGACCTGTTTCCACAAAAGATTGAACCTTTGGCTGGTCATGATAAACAAAAAAATGTTGCGAACAATAGGAAACCCAACAGGTCACAAGTTTGGCTTGCCACTGACTGTTACCACACATTTAGTTCTTTGCAGCCCTTGAACCTCATGAATCTTGGGATAGAAACCGCCCACCAACTAGTAACATGTTCGTCCATAGTGGACGACATCCGGCACTAGCTGGGATGGATGAAACATGAAAACACCCTGTCAATTGTGGGATAAACGTGGGCTAACCCCATTTACCATTCGGTGCAGGATTCATGAACCCCTGTTTATCAATACGGGGGTGTCCCTGGGTTTAGTGAGGCTTTTCACTTTTGGAGGGAAAAAATAAGCTGGGTTGATATGGGGTCAACAGTAATTAGTTGGGAACCCCGAGTTGCTCTGGTAACTAGAAAGCTGGAGGATTAATTTTAGGATCATTTTTCCTGAAGACTTCCCTTAGGGTATGGGTTGGTAGTTCTACATTCCGTCTGAACGTAACGAAAGCCGCTGGACTTGTCGCGCCTGCGTTGAATCGGCGGAGCGCCATGGTGCCGAGGTCTCAAAGGGCTATGAGAACGACGCTTGAGCACTGCGACAAGTCACTCGTTCTCAAGGACATCCGCGTCGAATCCGGCGTCGACATTTCGAAGGTAGGCGTTTGAGGAGGTAAAGGCAAACGAAAATGAAACAGCCAACTTTATGAGGTTCATGTTGTGTGAAGAATCAACACTCAAAATAATTGTGCACAGGGTCTCTTAAAGTAATTGAAGTTTCAGGACTTCTCACAATTACGGATGGTTTTCCTTGAAACCACAATTTAGAAGGAATTTGTAAAGAACCAAATTACCCGCAGTCTCTATTTACCAAAGGGAGAGCCCACCATGTTGGGGGTGATCCCCTTTGCCAAGACGCAACTTTCCCCGGAACCCGGGGCGATCTTCAAACAGGGTTTGGAACATGGGTGATTCGTTTTTTTTGGAGTTGGTACCGCATTTTGGGAACCAAAGGGAAACTAAGCATTTGTTGGGTCCCCTATACATATATATATAGATATATGTATTGTATTTCAACCAGGAAACACACTTTGAATTGACCCAAAAGGTGATGTTTGAAACCCGGGCAAGGGGAATTGTAGCGGTTGCCAAAGGAACTAAAATGAGTCTGGCCCTTGTGGCGATACAAGTTTGCGCATAACCTGAACATCCGGGGTACGGCGAATAGACATTGCCATTGCTAAGGTTGTTTCATGTTAGTCTAGCCAAAAAAGTTCTAGAGCAGAACCCAAATAAAACAACCTCGTGTTGGGTATTAGCATGAGAAGGTGGGCAGGAATTCCTGGCCCGTTTGGTCGCTTCGGCTGCACCAAACTACAGCTCTCCCGAAACGCTACAAAAACAAGAACGACTCACTTGCCCTGAAAATGAAAGCTATTCTTTGGGAACCCTCGGCTAAGGACCATATTCCGAAAACCAGCTCCAAAGGTTGATTCGGTTAGAGTGGGAAACCGCCAGTGCCGTGCTACAAGCCCACTAATCGCCTAGTGTCTTTTATTGAAGATAGGATACTTAAGACAGTTTTGAAGTTGAACCCGGAATCCACCTCGTGGACCACCCCATCCCCATAGGGGTTGATGAATCCAGGGTTTCCAAAACAGTTGACCCGGACCAATAAACCCCCAGTTCATTAGGGAGATGGTTTACCAGGGTTCCAGTCTGGTATACCTATTTTTGACCCACAGCCATATATATATATATATGTATGTATGTGTATATGCATTGCACGGTGAAACAAGTGGAACGCAATAGAGCAGGTAGTCTAGTGATAGCTTTGAAGAGCGAGAAGGGCCAACTTATTCACATGTTGGTAGTGAACCGAGCAACAATGGAAGAGACAATTTACACGTCGTCTCACGGGCAAGAAGCCCTTGGCGGTTGGAACCAAGGCCTAAAACCTGTGGTCCATATCCTCGTGGTTTATCTTCGACTCATACCTATATATACATATATATATATATATACTCGGTTGCTTTCTGCTCCCCTGCTAAAAGTTTGACTTTTAGTGGTTTAATGGAAATCCATTTGTTGGCAAAAAATTAAAGTCGTAACATCCAATCACCATGCACCTCTGTATACACATTTACCAGTCGTGGCTATGTCCTTTGAACGGGAAATTCAAAATAACCATCCAACGCGGACAAACAAATCGTCGTGGGTCACGGCTTGGGCTGTCCTGAAACCAACTAACGGCAGGGCACTTTGTTTGACTCTTGCTTGTACAGGGTCGCAAGGTGCCGGGGATTTGGCTGAAGCCAGAGTGCATCACACACACACACACATTGACCTGTATCAAAACGGGCAAGAAGCAGTGTGTGTGCTATGTGAAGCAGTCAAGTTTAGCAGAGGCAAGGTCAGCCAAAAGCTGGCCAAGACGTGTAAGCCAAAGAAGGTGTAGGAAACTATGCCATGCCTTGTGTCAAAATCAGGCTCCTCAGATCCCCCGCTAAAGTTGAACTTTGGGTGGGTTAAATGGACATCCCCACTAAACTCTAAAAGGCCAAAAAGCTAGGGAACCGGATGGCTGGGAGCCACCAAGTAAAGGCCCCCATTTCTTCTTTCGGGCCCCAGCCTCCGAAAGTCCCAGCCTCCGAAAGCAAAAAATAAAAAAATAAGCACGCACACATCGCCTTCAAATGGGCGTGTTCGTTTTTCCCTCCGCGCCGGTGAGTGCCCATTCGCTGATCCAGCGCTCTGAACCGCAATCAGATTGACAGGTGGGTGGTTACAAAAATACGGAGCCCTTTTCTTGATTGCTGTTGACCCCCCTGCAAAAAGTTTAACTTTTTGTGGGTTTAGTGGAAAACACCTTTATTTCCCAAAAAGTTAAAGTCTAAAGATCCAACCCAATAGCAGTCAAGCTGTTGTTGGGTTTCTGCTTTAGCATCCCTTCAAACACCAAAGGGCTCCCCATGTTTTTGGACACACCCAAGGACATTTGGTGAATTCCAGGCCGCAACCGACGCAGAAAGCTGCCACGTCAAGTGCGGAAGCGATTGGATTCCTGGTGCAAGGTGACCCATCAGGCACAGCGGCATGTCCGAAGCAAGTGAAGGGGAGCCATAGTCCTGGGGGTTGACTCCTTTTCCATTCTTTTTCAACCATCTTTCTTCTCAAAAAAATAGCCGTTTTCCCTGGATTTCCGGAGGTTTTCTAGAAAGATTCGGATCCCTGGAAAGAATGGGGAAGGTACCCCTGGAACAGCGGAACCAACGGGGAACAAAAAGCCGCCTCCTGTTTCAGGCCCCATGACACCGCGCGAATCGCGAATCTGATCCCGTTCTGGGGCTGGAGCTAACCAGAGACGCCTTGCCTGCGATAAAATCTCTGAAAGTGTTGGCCCATGTGCTTCTTCGGATTCCTGTCATATGGCCATGGTTCAAAACCAATGGTACCATTTTGGGATAGGTGCACCACGCATGTGAGTCTATTTTTAGTGGGGACTGGGATGTTCACTGGGGGTACGGGGTTTTGACCCATGACCATAGTTGGTCCAGCCTAAAACATGGCATAACAATACAGAAGATCTTAGAACGGTCCCAAAAGATCCGAAATGCCCAAGGCCTTTGGTTCTGGGGCCTAAACACAAGAAACATACACCCAACTGAGCTGCGAAACGTGTTCAGCTCTTTGCCTTGTTCACGAGGAGTTCTTGTTAAAAACCGTATGGTCAAAGCAAGCCTCCCCCCCCCCCCCCCGTGGCTTGTGAAGTAGAGTTTGAGGTGTGTGCAAACCACGGCATGAGAGGCAGATCCTGTCCACGTACCTAATTGACTGCCTGTCAGCCATGAAAAGCGCAAACAAACTTCTGGGGGCCTGGTGATTCCCTGGTCTTTTCAGCCAGCCATCTTCAAAATCGACCCAATTAATCCAGCGCATTTGATGGCTCGCGGGACAGAAGGATCCCTGGAAACCAACTCAAGTTGGTAAAGGGGACACTTGAGCTACGTGGCACATGGCTACAGTGTCCTCTGTGGGGTTGTAAAGCAAAACAGGAAACAAACACTTTGGACAAGTCCACTATATTTAAACTGCCGCAGCGGCTTACAGTACGTGTATATGTATATATAACTATTAATATACAAGTATGAATACATGTACACATACTAAACACGCGCAGCATAACCCGTGAAGGAAACAATCTCAAAAAGAAGTACCCGCACAAAATAGAAAAATACCGACCCCCTTTGGGGAACAGTACGAACACAATGGCTCAAAGGATCTGGAAAGTAACATTGACCAACACGAGAATCCTCCAGTAGAGGGGTTAGAATAAGGGTACCTTTTTTTCCGTGGTCTATTTTAGTAGGGGAACTACCCTCCCCCTATCAAAGGGGAGTCAAGGGCACGACTTGGGGACCTAGATGAACGAAGTGCCAACTGTGCTCCAGCCGCCTGGGTGAAACTGCGCCATGCCCCGTTCAGAAGAGGTTCCTTGCAAAGGTGCTTCTGAAAGGTTCAACCCCAGAACTAGCCTGGTGCTTTTAACATGGGAGAGTGGTGTGAAAAAAGGGACTTTGGCAAACCAATTTGCCATTGTTTATTTCATGCTGTCGCTCCCTTGATCTTTGTTTTCGGCACGGGAGCTAATCTGTGTTTTCCATCATGTGTAGAAAGCAATGATGTTGAACTTGGTCCATTAAAATAACTTGTTCAAAACTCCTTGGCGCCCTCCTTTTAATGGATTGTTACCCCGCTTGCAAGCTAAAGAATAAGCCAACAAAATCCTTCCCAACTGAGAAACTCCAAACCTAACAAATGATATCTGATTTGGATCCATGCAGAACAGATATGAAAAGCAATGTCACGCAAAAGGAAACATAACAAAGGAACACCCCTTGCGGGAAGCATGGACAACATGTGGGCTTCCAGGGTTCTCCTCGAAAGAGGTGACAACCACCACCGACGTGAAACGTCTTTTAATGCGACAAATCGGCATGCTAGGTCCTCCAGTAGAGAGGTTAGAATAAGGGCACCAACTGCTTTTTTCTTCTGTAGTCTTTTTTAGTCGGGGAACCCTCCCAAAAAAAGAATCGGTGAGAAAAGGGCACCTAGCTGGGGGACCTGGGCATGGGCTACTTGCTTTCATGGGGTCCGATAGCTCGTGCCTGCGAAAGCAAGAACATTACCTAGCCAGGGAGCCGACCAGCCAAACAAGAAACACACACGAACAAGCAAACGTACAACCAACCAATCAAACAAACAAATAACAAAAACAAACAGAAACAACCAAAAACAGCCAAAAAACAAACAAACCAACAGACAGACACACAGAAAACAAACAGACAGAAAGACAGTCAAATAAACAGACATAAACCAACAAGCGAACAAACAAAACAACAGACAGTCAGACAGACAGACAGACAGACAAACAGACAGACAAACAGACAGAGAGACAGACAGAGAGACAGACAGTCAGACAGCCAAACAAACAGACAGGCAAACGAAAGACAGACACCGACAAGTAAACAGGAAAACAAGCCAGCAAGCAAGC